ATGTACAGCCCAAGAGTCTTTTCACACTGCAGAGTTGATGCTGGCTGGGGAATTCTGGGAGTTGAAGTTCAAAGTGGCCAAGGTTGGACACCCCCTGCTGTAGAATCAAGGCCCAGCCTCTGGTAACCATATTGATTTACGTAGCGTGCTTGTGAGATACTGGAGACCATCTGTGGTTGCAGGCATTAATTCATTCACCTTCTGGTTGGGGGTGATTTGTCACAGCCTGTGTCCCTCATTAGGCAAAACCAATTCTTTCAGTGAAAACGAGCTTCTGCACACACACACACACACACACACACACACACACACACACACACACACACGGCCTATGAGTCGCAGCCCCCTTTTAGCATCTAGGTTGAAGCTGGTTGAGTTTGTTTAACCCAGAACTTTGAAGTTAGCACCACTTTGATTCAGTGCTCAGTAAAACAGATGCCTGTGACACTCTTGAATTAATGCCCTGGAAACGTCATCTTAAGTCATCTTAAATCACGAACAGAAATGATATATGCATCACTTGCCATAGCGATAGAAAAACATGACTATTAATTTCAATCTCTTCTCCTTTTCTGTTAACAACACGCTAAACAGTGAGCCATGATCAGGATTTCTGCCAACGTTGCATGTAAGCATATTTATCTGACCAACTCACTGACCAAGTCTTTTCTTTTCTCTTTCTTTCTTTCTTTCTTTCCTTTCTTCTTCCTTTCTCTTTCTTTCTCTCTTTCTTTCTTCTTATCTTCCTTTTCCTTCCATTTCTTTCTTTCTATCTTCCTTCCTTCCTATCTTCCTTCCTTCCTTTCTTCTTTTTCTCCCTGTGCTGAAGTAACTGGCCTTATCAAGTATTTAAATAAATAAATAAATACACACAATATATTTTTACCACTAGAAAAAAAAAACCTGACAGGAAGCTCTAACACATCCAGGAGTATCATCAAGGAAGCGTGCACATTTTGTGTTTTATTTTGTTTTGATCCAACATCTACTGAACCTTTCTGTCTCCACCCCATGTGAAGATGTCTTTTCTGGACACCATTAAATCTTCATCTATTCCAGCTCTGCTTATGGGTCATTGATTCTATAGGTACCGTGGTTCTTTTTTTAAAGGCTTCCCTTCGGTCAGAGAGGGAAGAGAGTTGTCCTGAGACAGATGGACCACTTCACACTTCATTTATCAAACCAAATAGTCTAGACCCCGCCTCCTGAGCTTGCTCCTTGCAGTTCAACTTCCATACAATTTGGTAATAATTTTCATTATCGGACCGTGACCTTAAAGCCAACAACTGAGCTCTTTTTTCTCCTGGCTGTGTTTTGCTTTTGCACGGCTGATTTGAAATTCACAGTTATCGGCCTTCAGTTGTCTGACTCTCCAAGAGTTAGGAGATGCGAGAAGCTGCCTGTGCCTTTTTGGAGGGGTAGGAATGACCCTTGGCAGTCAGAGGTTAAGAAGAGGTCAGTTTGAAGAGCTCAAGAAACTCTTTTAACAGCTATAACAATCTGCCCATCAGACGCTATCTGGTAGAATAAATAAACCACAGCTTTTAGCAACCTATTCTCCATATGAATCCCATTTCGATCACTGCAATATATATATATGTTGATACTCTGGAAAGGGTGCAGAGAAGAGCAGCAAAGATGATTAGGGGGCTGGAGGCTAAAACATATGAAGAACGGTTGCAGGAACTGGGAATGTCTAGCTTCATAAAAAGAACTAGGGGTGACATGACAGCACTGTTCTAATATTTAAGGGACTGCCACAAAGAAGAGGGGGTCAAGCTATTCTCCAAAGCACCAGAAAGCAAGAAACAACAGATGGGAACAGATCAAGGACAGATCCAACCTGGAATTTAGGAAAAACTTCCTAACAGCGAGGACAATTAACCAGTGGAACGAGTTGCCTTCAGAAGTTGTGGGTGCTCCATCACAGGAGGCTTTTAAGAAGAGATCGGACAGCCATTAGTCTGGAATGGTATAGGGTCTCCTGTTTGAGCAGGGAGTTGAACAAGGTCTCTTCCTACTCTGTTATTCTGTTAATTTATGTTAGGCACCATTTCTGTAGAACAGTTGATTCCCTTTTGAGAAGAGAGATTTTCCCCGAGTCCAGAAAAGAACAGCTGGGAAGGTATTACTCTCTTGCTCCATATCTACCTCCACCAGCCCACCAAGATCTGGGAATGGCCAGTATTTGGTAACGTTGAAGATCCTGAAGAAGGAATGGGAGGTTTCAGGTTCAATTCCATCTTCTTCCAAGGACACTTTGGACCAATGATCCTCGTCATCTATTAAATACTTCCAGAGACTTTGATTATGCTTCGCCTCCACCTTCTTTGTGAAATTTCCCACACGAAGTTCCCACATGGACAATCCGTCTCTTTAATTAGTGGAAGCTTTAGCAACGGAGGCGGGGCAATTAAAACAAAAACAAAAAAGCATTACTAATATTCGGAGCTCTCCAAGGTCCTGGCTGCACTTAATTGACTTGGATCTGAAGTTCCAGATATTTATTACCCAATTGGAACAGCAAACCCAAGGTTAGGGCATTTGGCAAAATTACCAGATTATTCTGAATTCCTCTTGATAACTATAAGGAGTCTGACTTCTTCCTTCCTTTCCTTCCTCCCTCCCCTTTCTCTTCTTTCCTTCCTTCCTTCCTTCCATCCATCCATCTTTCTCTCTCTCTCTCACTCTCTCTCTTCCTTCCTTCCTTCCCTCCCTCTCCTTTCCTTTCTTTACTTCCTTCCATCTCTCTCTCTCTCTCTCCCTCTCTCTCCCTCCCTCCCTCCCTCCCTATGTCTTCACTCATCTATTTACTTTATATTTCTTGAAAGCTTTCCCCATCATATGCCTTCTCTAATGTGCAGGATAAGGTCATTAAATTCACCAGTATTTTAACTTCCAGAATGGGGGGGAAAGGGAGGAAAGAATAAAACAATAATCTATTAACTCATCTAGCCTATCCCTTGATAGCTTGCTAAAAGTAAAACACTATAACCTACCGCCTGGCCTTTGACAAGTGCTAATTATTTCCTGCTGAAGCACATTTTTCTTGTGTAATTCCAAAGTACACAATAGGCTGATCTCTAAAACTCAACAGTGCTCCTCCAGAGAGGCACTGGGTGTTTTATAACTTTCACCACTTTGTGTTTGTGTGTGTGTGTGTGTGTGTGTGTGTTTATATTAGCACTGGAGCCTAACCATTTCTCCAAACCTTTGATGAAGCAGAAGTGTAGGGAAATGGGATATGTCTAATCTTGTGAAAAGAAGGACACTAGGAGTGACCTGATAACCATGTTCCAATATTTGAGAGACTCCCAAAAAGAAGAAGGAGGGGTCAACCTATTCTTCAAAGCACCTTAAAGCAGAACAGGCACCCATGGATGGAGACCCATGAAGGAGAGAAGCAACCAAGAACTAAGGAGAAATCTTGAGGGTTAGGGAATACAGAAAGTGCAGAAACGGACCCGTTTTTCAGCCTCCTGAGGCTGCAGAGGCTTTCCTCGAGCCTCCGTAAGGCGAAAATGGCCTCAAATGGGATGATAATCAGCCGAGAGGCGTGCACATGCACAGTGCAGATAAGGGGGCAACACTGCAAATGCGTGTTGCGCACGCATTTGCAGGGGGGGGCGCATTGCATTGTGGGTATCGGCGCACGAGCACGCTTTCGTCCCACCACAACAAAAAGGTTCGCCATCACTGGTATAGGGTCTCCTGCTGGAGCAGTGGGTTGGACCAGATGACCTCCAAGGTCCCTCCCAACCCTGTTATAAATCACAACAGGTTATTTACTTGGTGGATCCTACAGATGGGGGCTCTTTAGGACAGGTCAGTCGGAGACAAAAAAAAACCTCGACTAGAGTCAAGGGAAAGAGGAATTAATTGTAGTTATAGAATACTCTGGAGGCACCTTCTTTTGAAGGCTTTCAAGTTACCCGGCTCTTGAGATTTTCTTTCAGGTGTTTAGGTATAATGAGGCCCTGTGCTTTGCCTGCTGTTTTCTCCCTCCCTTCTTCAACCTTCTGGTTCCTCTCTTCTCCACCCTGATGCCTGCAAAATACTTAACATTTTTGTCCTAGAGGCTCAATTATGCCACTTGGCTCCAGCTTGGGAATAAATTGATAGCTTTAGGGAAAAACAACAACAACGAGGGGAAAAAAACCCATTGAAACTAGAAGCGTTCAAAGAGACTTGCCGTTCCCCTCCATTCAAAGAAAATCCATATTTATTGCATATTTGCTCTACTAAACTGATCTATTTCAGTACGTTAACCTTTGGTAGGTTTCCTTGTTTTTTGTTGTTGTTTTTCTTCTCCCAAGCCACACACACACACTCAGAGTTTATAAATATTTAGCAGTGTGTCTGAATTCCTACCTGGGCAAAACTCTAAATGTCTGAACATTCCCTCCCCAGCACAGGTAGTCCTGGACATATGATCACAATTGAGCCTAACATTTCAGCTGTTAAGTGAGACATTGGTTAAGTGAATTCCCCCCCCTCCATTTTACCACTGGGCATGCCTCGGTTGTTAAGTGAAGCACGGCAGCTGATAAGTTAGTAACTCAGTTGTTAAGTGAATCTGGCTTCCCCATTGGCTTGGCTTGTCAGAAGATTGCAAAAAGAAGGAAGGAAGGAAGGAAGGAAGGAAGGAAGGAAGGAAGGAAGGAAGGAAGGAAGGAAGGAAGAAGATTGAGATAAGGGAGAAAGGGAGGGAAGGAGGAAAAGAGGAAGGAAGGAAGGAAGGAAGGAAGGAAGGAAGGAAGGAAGGAAGGAAGGAAGGAAGGAAGGAAGGAAGGAAGGAAGGAAGGAAGTCCATTAAGATAAGATGCAATGGGATATAAAACAACCCAGGAGTGTTCAAATGAAAATTAAGATCTCTTAGTTTCCTCTTTAGATTCTAAAATGAGACATGCTCAAGAAAACCTATATATATATAAACATTTTGATTGAACATTATTGCTGGGAAGGGTCTTACTTTTTCTACTTTTCTTTCCATGCAATTTTCATGTCTTTTTTCTTAAACGTATAATGGACCTACTGTGCTCTCCTTCTACACCACTTTCTCACCTCGCCAGCCATTCTTGACGCAGAGCCTGTCGTTCGACCAGGAGGGGCAGAAGGCAGCGGATTTTTTCATTCCTTTGTTCCTCCATCTGTTCTTCTTTTCGTAATTCACAGAGCAATAGACTTGTCTTAAGAGGGGGGAGGAGAGGAGGGGTTGGGGAAGGGTTGGCAGCAAAGAGAAAATGCCATAAACGTTATAAAACAAATAAAGAAAGAAACAAAGCATAAAATTAATTAAGCAGACCATAAGCAAATAGGGACAGTAAATCAATGCCCCTTTTTATTACAGTTCTATGGCCTGGAAATCAATACAGTAAACGATGGGTCAAAAATGAGACCACCTCGGTGTGGTATTTAATCAAAGTACATGAAATTTTAAGCTGAAAATCTTAAAGCATCATCAGGTTAGTATTGGGAATCTGGATTTCATTTTTGTCAGGTGCAATTATTTGATTTTTCTGATAAATACAAAACAAAAACACACACAAAAAACCCCAACCCACCAAGTTGGAATATTTGTAATGCAGTTTTCTAGAAATACATTTTCAGCCTGACTCTGTTCTTTCTCATATGCTACTTATTAGTAGGGAAAGGAAGGAAGAGAGGGAGGGAGGGAGGAAAAGAGAGAAGGAAGGAAAAGAGGAAAGGCAGGAAAAGAAGGAAATAGTGAAAAAGGGAAGGAGAGAGAGAGGAGGGAAGGAAGAAAATAAAGTGGAAGGAAGGAAGAAAAAAAGGAGAAGAAGAAGAAGAAAAGAAAGGAAAAGATGGAAGGAAGGAAAAGAGGAAAGGAAAGTGAAAGAGGAGAGAGGGAGGAAGGAAATGAAGCAAAAAGAAGGGTGGGATGGAGGGAAGGAAGGAAAAGAGGAAAGGAAGGAAAAAGTGAAAAAGGGAGGAAGAAAATAAAGTGAAAGGAAGGAAGGAGAAGAGGAGGAGGAGAAGGAAGGGAAAGATGGAAGGAAAGAAGGGAGGAAAAGAGGAAAGGAAAGTGAAAAAGGAGGGAGGGAGGGAGAAAATAAAGCGGGAGGAAGGAAGGAAGGAAGGAAGGAAGGAAGGAAGGAAGGAAGGAAGG